AACTAGTTGAGTATTTTAAAAAATCGTGATATTCAATAAAATAAATATTGCAAGAACTGAACTGAAAAATAAAAATTTTAAAAACTTACTTATATTGGCTATGATAATTTTAAAATTAATATTTTGGCGCGCTCTTTAAGAATAGGGGGGAAAGTTCTTATTTTTAAATTCCTGAAAACCGTCAAAAACTGCTATTGTAGTTAGATTGGGATGTGTTACGTCATCAACTATATACATATACGTCCGACATAGTCTCTTCAGATTTTAATTTGTTTCGGTCTTTACAAAATTCTTTGAATGGTCACGATTTTGATAACGAAGAGACCATCAAACTATACTTAGAGTTGTAATTAATTTAAGTAAAGACAGGAACTTTTATGAAAGGGGAAATTCTGAAATTAACCGAAAGATGGCAAAGATTGTAGATCAACATGGTCAGTAAGTAATTGGTTAAACTTTGATGTTTTTAAACTTGTATTTTGATACCGCAAGGATTTTTTGGCCAACCCAATACATTTATTATTATATGAATATAAGTTTTTAATAGCATGGATACCGGACCCAATGAACCCATGGACCCAAGCACAGCTCAAGATTTGAAATGAAAATGCGTCGTTCGGAATAAAATTGACTAACTCCACTTACGATAGTTAGAAGAAGTATTGTATGTGTAAATCTTCCAGCACATGTACAAATAGTTCTAAGCGTACTTTGAAATGGTATGAAGTAAAAACGCTCGCTATGCCGCAGAAATTTTTTGAAATGATTTGTTTTCCCAGACAGAAATTGGTTTTTAAATGAGTTTTAGCTTAAAAAAATTATACGGAAGATTATTTTTTACTTTATCAAATTTTGTATAACGTGCTTTAAAAATATAGATTCTGTTAACTATTTAAAAACAATGATTTTGTGTAGGTCACCTCGAAAATGAAGCATATTGAAATAAAATAAGAGAGATAGCAAACCGCTTTCTGATACAAAGAAATGAAATGGAAATAAGGTCGTTTTTAGAATAAAATTTCATTAAAAATTATCCTATATTTAATTATTAGCTCAGTGCAGTTAAAGAAATTATCACAACCTATATCGAACCATCAACATAAATTGATGAAAATCGAAACATAACATTTTTGGGAAGCTGACCAAGTGGATTTAAACATTTTTTACTTTGACTTTGAGGCAAAATTTTACCGTGCTCGGTCACACGCGCCGTGCATCTTCTTTATGTGCAAAATCAAATTGTTATGTAACAATTTTGTAATCTCAGCGGTAAATATCAGCAATAAAAGTGTTTGTTTCAACTTATTGGAGTCTTACAGTACGATAAAAATAAAATAAATAAATAAAACGAATATATATCTTTTTTAATTTTAAACAGGATTCAGTTATATTTGGCACCAACAAAATGGCGGATATGGTACTTGCACATACGTTCTTTTTTAAATCTATTTTTCACTTTACTAAAAATGTTATTTTGCGAATCGTCACTTTATACTAGAAGGTTAAATATGTAACTAAATTTTGTAGAGAAATTTATTTGTAATATGTTAAATGTGAAATGGTCTATGATGTGCAAGTTGTACGTAATTCCACATTGAAACGTAATTTGAAAATTGAATAGTTAAATAAAGTATATTTTATTTTAAATCTGTAATCAAGTTATTTGATAAAGTAAATGAGATCAAAAATATCTTCAAATTGTCGAGGTATTATTTTAATGATTTTGTACCAATTTTTGTTTTTTTATTCTGTTAGAGTACGCATAGGCATTATTACTTCATACCCCTTTTACAGTTACCAACATATCTGTGATATTCCGTTTTTATTTTAAATAGGTTTTTACGGCTCTGGATACTTTGATCCTTCGCCAGTATCATCCCCCTCCTCACTGATTGGTACATTTGAGTAAGACGTTACAATCTTCATCTTTCAAAAGTGACCATTTCGATTAATCGTAGCGTGTCTACTTTTTGATATATGAATATACAGTACAACAATTTTCTTCATACCTTTCGACAATCTCCGGATTTCCGAGAACACCTACATAAGTTTCCATGTCTACTAATAATCAGATTTATTATGTATAATTTGAATTCACAATAACGTATTTTATTGTCGTTTCGCTTTGATATCCTTGTGAATTATACAGAGCCGTAAAACGATTGCCCTTTAATATTACACTTTACAATACACTAGGTGAGTTAAGAAAAATATAAACTAAATGAAGACAAGTATTTACTCTGTACAGGACTATAAAAACCTTGCAGGACTATACAAACATCACAAACAACAGCTTTTGTTCCATGACTTTTAATAACTGGTCAGATTTTACTTTCATACAAAAATATTTCATATTTCAATCGATCGCTCTATGTTTCGGGTGGGAGTCGTCGCGAAGTTGAACTTGACTACCTTCATACTAAACACAGCTCTAAAAAGTGTTCTATAGTACAAGAAAAATTAAAAAGATTATTTTTGGCAAATTTTAACTGTTTTGTTTTTTTTAAACTGTAGTTTATGATGTTAGTAATATAGTCACGAGTAGTTCTTAATATGTTACAAATGACCCCGTATACTCCCAAGTCAATTGAGTGCATCCGGTTTGCACCAAGCGCAAAGGGCGAATTTATAGATAGTCGACGACAGCCGAGGATTGCCGAGAGATATTAAGAAAATAGTTGTACTGTAATTCAAATATAGAACTAGTTTGACATGACTTACAAAACCGTTTAATAGAAAATACATCATTGGCCTTAAAAACTGCCCTAATGCAAATTACGCTAGTCAGGAGAGAGACAATATCATAGATATTTCAGTGGTTCTTTTTAATGTAACAATGATAACAATTAAAACATACCATTCCGCATGAAGTCCTTTAAAAAATCTAATGCTTTTATAGAAGTCAACTTATTTTAGACTTACGTATACAATAAATAACTATTTACAAAACTTTTTTTTCTAATAGCCGTTAAAATTAAGTAAATTAAACAAGATCTTTTGGACTTTGCTATCAAATTGTGCCAAAGTTACGTATAAGTGTCAATTTTGTGACAACTACTTAATGCAATTTCATCATTGACTTACAAATAAATGGACGACGGGTCTAATACAAAAACCACGAAAAAAATGTCCCAAGTCAACCTATTCGAAATTTAAATTGTAATGTCATCGCAGTATCGCGCTGTCAGTAGAACAAATGAAGACTAAAGCGGAGTGTCGCGCTCTGTATACGATTTTAGCGCCTTACAAGTGCGGACACTTTTTAGCGCGGACCCGACGTCCATATAATTGTAAGTCAATGAATTTCATAGATCGAAAATAATGTCATCACATTCACTCCCTGTTAGTTCTAAAGGTAAAACAATATTCTTAGCGATAGAACTAAGAGCGGTTACACATGCGTTTGCAAACGCGACGCAGTAGCGATGCAGACGCTAATCGTCTACTTTTACATACACGCGCGATTCTAAGCAGCGATGCAAACGCGCGACTGCATCGATACAATTGTGATTTAAAAGCGCAAGCAACTCGCGCATTTGTGTCGATGTAATCGCGCGTTTGTATCGATGCAGTCGCGCGTTAACACCTATAAACGGCAAGCGTTAACGATGCAATCGCGCGTTTCATCGCGGGTAAGAGGAGCCGTGTGTAACTATCCTAAACTTAATTAAATTGCTTTATGTCCGTCTCTTAGTTATCAATAGGAATAAGAAAACGATAACAGATTTCATTTATTTCAGCAGTGATTTATTAAATATTCATAGATTCATAGAGTCAACAAGGAGCTGTCAAATTGTTACGCTCCAAATTTAAATCTTCAAGTTCTTTTCTTAGAATAATAACGCATAGAATCCTAGTCCGCACACGCTAAGTGAGGCAAATTGAAGCGCGCCCAATGGGCCTACACGACCGGGTGGGCCTTCAGTGCTCAAGGTCAACTTGCACCGCGAACAGATCAAGAATTTTAGCTAAAAATGACGAAATGTGCGGTAAATGAGTGTAAAAATACGTCAGACAAACATAAAATAGATACTAACATCACACTCTACAAGGAAGTAATGCGTTTCAACTTGTATTTTTATATAAATATTCACTAAAACCGAAAATTAATTTACTACTAAAACTAGCCTACATGAATTTGATTTTTGCCTCACTTGTGACAGTTTGTTTGATATGAAACTATCATTCTATGCGTTATTATTCTAAGGTTCTTTTCTTATTTATAAAAAACAGACATATGTCATTGAAACTTAATTTAGTTTAGTATGTGTGAATGGACACAAAATATTAGTATAAAGGAGTCGTAAAATTGACACAAATACATAACATCAAAGTAAGTTTAATGGAAGTAGATTATTATGGAAATGCAAACTAACAAGTATAAATGTGTAAATAAACGGCAATGATGGTTATCGTAATAGACGATTGCAACAGATGGAAAATTTGCAATTCAGTTTACAATTTCTATTCTCGTTTTCTCTTATGGACTTAAGGTACCTCCAAACAAGACGCTTGTAGAAGCGCTGCAGTGACGCGGCAACCCCGCATCTGTAGCGCTTTATTATTTTTTAGTTCATCCCTGTGACAGTTCATAAAAATCTACAAAATATAATTTTGTAACGACGTGCACTAATTTTCATGTTAAATAAACTGTTTTTAAAAGCCTCGCTTTTAAATGAATCGCTAAGTAAATACATAAAATTAAAGTAAAAATAACAGCAAATTCATTTGTAAGAAATGAGCGGAAAAACATTTTTTTTTTCAAAAATTCCTTAATTTTTTACGCCAACGTGTCAAGGTTACTTCATTGCGCAAGAGGTGTACCGATAAAAAGCTTTCGATGATTTAATTAATAAATGTATAGTGCGTGTATTTATTCTTAACGTATAAATTGAAATGACATGTTAGTGTTATAACTTATTTTTGAAACCTGTACGTTAATAATATAATAAATGTTTTTTTAAATGTACATATAAACTATCTATTAAAATTGCATTTGGATTATAGTTGTTTATTTCATGCCTTTAATATAATACAAAGACTTCATACATCAATACATCATTCAGAATATGTTAGAAAAACAAAATTATAAGGGAGAACTTTTGCTTTAATAATCAATTGCACTAAAAATCTATCGACTTTACCTCATCCCTATGACAAACTTCAAATGAAACGTTACAGGGATCATCCTAGTTTGAGTTTAGTATAATTGTGACTGCAAAAGTGGCGCGCGCGCGTCACGTCTGTGGCGCTGCAACTGCGCTTCTAAATATTGTATGAAAATTAATAATAGCGCAGCTGCAGCGAGCTTCCACAAGCGTCTAGTTTGAAAGCGCCCTAAAACAGGGAGCTTTCATCAGTTCTGTATACTGTTGCCAAAATAAGAACGCCTGATCTACCTGGAGTTAAATTCCGGAAGTTTCTAAAACTTTTTAAATGATAAAAAACTTAAGTATATTGTGTTGTCTAAATAATTTTTGTACATTTTATATTTGTATATGCGGAAGAATCAGGTGTTATCATTAAAGACAACGTTTTAAGTTACTGTTAAACAATTAAAGTGAGTAACAAGTGTAACCTACACCGTTAAAAAAAAGTACCCGGAGAGACTTAAAATAAGTTAATAGTCCGAAATTGCACACATTTATGATACATTCTTTTTGTAATACATTTAAAAATACTAAATATTAAGATATATTTTATTGCATGGCATTGTAAAACAAAAAAAATACGAAAACTGTTTGTGTCGTGTAGTAATAATTGTGTACCCTACTATACATTACACTAAACACATCAACTACATAGTTCTTTGCACTTACGATATTTAAATTTAAAAATTCGAACACATTCTTTGTTTTTAAAAAGTTTTTATATCACTTCACTGACACTTTATAAAAAGTTTTTTTAAATTTGAAATTGGAAAGGGGCGCACTTACAGTTGGGAAGTACCAATGAGAAAGTCACTAGAGGGCGAATGCGATGTTTACTGTCAATAACATCATGATACTGATCTTTCATTGGATAGTTCAATATTTTGACATCTTTACCTTACAACTTCTAGTGTGTAGATAGTCCTGATTAAGACGGCGGTGGATCAGTTGCGCGTTTTCCAATCGTCAATGCGGTTGAAGAGAGTTCAATATATTCATGTTAATTGCATGCTGGTGACTCGGAGGGCCGCCGAGGAAGCTTAATTGTGGCCTTGTCGCAGCTGCCATAGCCGCGAAGAGGGGAGGCGCCCCTCCTCCCCCGAAAAGGGCGAAGGAAGGTGGCAGCAAAGGTCGCGCTGACAATCGCAGCTTTTCGATTTCGGCTTCTTGTAATCGTTTCGCTTTTGCTCGTCGGTTTTGAAACCAGATCTTCACCTGCGAGAATATTAATTGAATCAATTATAGATAATATATGTTTAAGTAAACGTCGAATCATAATCGTTGAATCGTAATTTTGATTGTATAATGAATATTATGTTGTTTTATTATCATGATATTAATTTAATTTTTATGAAATTCCTCCACTAGTTATTAATATAAAGACCGAACATAAAGAAAAATTCCTTCGATTTGACAGAACTATTTGGAATACCATAGCTAAGGTTACGAGGGAACATGCATGGCTATACAGGGTGTAATCGCTAAGTGTGCCCTGGCGAATATTCCGTAAAAATAAGTTAGATCAAAAACCTTTAAATTAATGTCGAAAGTACGTTGCCTAATAAAACGACATCAACAACTTTTAAAAATAAAACTAGGAATATACAAAACTTTAACATTAAACGTTCCCATACATTTCATAATGATATTAGTGGAGAGGCTTTATTTATTTATTTATTTTTTATTGAAAATAATTGAGCATTTGACTTACTTCAAGAGGTAACAATAAGTTTACAGATGACCAAACTGCTATAAATAAAGTAATAAAAACAAAGTGATGTTCATTTTTAAGCAAGTGCAAAATATTGTACGAAACTAAAGCCCTTTATTAAATGTATGACATTAAAATTTTTGGATATTTCTAGTTTTATTTAAAAAAAGTTATCCATGTAACGTACGTATGTACATGTAACGTGCTTCCGACATCAGTTTAAAGATTTTTCATATCTCTTATTTTTTTTTATTTACGGAGGGCACACCTAACAATTTCACCCTGTATATACCTTTTCCATCAGGGCAGGCAATGACCACAGTATTCCACTGTCACATAAAATAAATATATGACGTAATCATAATACAAAGCTATTTAAAACATAAATTATCAATTACTAAACCTCAACCTTAAGTGCTTAATAATAATATAACAATTATTTATTTCCTCAATTACAGAAATACAGAATACGAAAATTATTTGATTATGAAACATGATTTAATTGAAGTAGAAGGATGTTAAAATTATTACAACTGTTTGTTCTGTCTTATATACTCCAGCAACTCACAGACGTCCCAGTTGAATATTGACTTTTTTAGTCCAGAAAAACATTTGCATTCGAAGACTTTTAAGAAACTTCCGAAATGCAGAATTTGTAGTTTTCTTTCGCCGTCAAGCAAGGATAGGTAATTTATTTATATTAAGTAGGTAAGGGCATTATTGTGTACTTCGGTCTCCAGGAAGAATTTTTTTATAGAAATAAGTAGTAACTACTATTTGTTTGGGTTTTCCTTTTTACTTAATGTGAATTGTATTTTCCTGTGCAATAAACTATTAAATAAATAAATAAAGGTTTTTAAAACTTTTTGTGAAAGAGTTCGTCCAGGGAAGTACTGCCATCTTACCTATTTCTGCCACCAAACAGTAATGCTCCCATTACTGCGTTCCGGTTTTGAAGGGTGTTAGTGAAATTACAGGTACATGGGACTTGTCAACTTATGTCTCAGGGTGACGGGCGCAGTGGCAGCGTCTCTCAGATCTTTGAGATTTAATTCTCGAAGTGGCACAGCAACTGTTATGGACAGGCGTATCGCTTATCACCAAGCGCACGACGTGTTTGTCCGGTCACTTGGTTATTAACGCACACACTCAACATAGCCCCGCACTAGGGAAACCCTGTGTCGCGAGTGCCATGGACACATACATAGACAATCACAAATTACACCCAAACTCACGAGAGAAATAAATGTAGGCCATACAAATATTTCTCCCGGCCCGGGAATCGAACCCGGGGACTTCTGCGTGGCAGTCCGGTATGGTAACCGTTCGGCCACGGAGGCAGTTAAACTTGGTATCAAGAAAAAAGGGATAAAGAATGCTATGACGCGTTCTTCTGTCCTGTCTTTTATGCCCTGATTTATGCAGACCTTTGGAATGTCACTTATAATGCAATACGTGCGTCAGGAAAAACTAGTTTGAAAGCCGTGTAGCCGTCAATTGAATGGCAAAAAGAAAGAATATCTAACTACACGTGTTTCGGAAAGACACAATTATTCTCGTCTGTTCTAGAACTTGGAAGAGTAGTCTCCTGTTCAGAAGGCATCTTTCTCCCATGCTATTA